GGCGCTCCAGGTCTTTGGCAGCGGGTCCTTCACTCGCTCCGGGTCTTTGGCGGCGGGTCCTTCAGTGCCACCGAAGACCCAGAGTGAGTGAAGGACCCGCCGCCAAAGACTAGGAGCACGGGCCGGTGAGTACAAGCCCCACGTGTTTTTTTAACGTGGTTTTTTTTTTTTTTAGTCATCCCTGTCGGGGCCCCGTCAAAATTGTTCGAATCGGGCCCCGCACTTCCTAAAGCCGGCCCTGTTAACAGCCACTCTCTGGGTTGGCTCAGGCAGTAGAAAAGAGGGAAGAAATAATCCAGGTCCTTTCCACATAACCGAGTACCATTTGACAAACATTTGCCTTGCATTCAGACTCTGCCACTTTATGTTGATTTAACAAACAAACTGGTATCAAATTGTGCATACAGAGTACAAGAGCATGTGGGGCAAAATGCTCAAGGGTAGCAGGTTACAAATGGAATTCGTAGCACACAGTGTACTTACTGGAAGATCTAGTAAATATAAGGATTCAGATGTAAATCCCCTTTCCTTGTATAGATTTTTTTTTTAAATCCAAACAATGCATAAACATGAAGCCTTTCAGCCCCACCTCAGTCTTGTGTGACTGCTTACATAACTTTTCCTGTGGCCATTTATTCCTGAAGCGTACTTTCTTACATAATTAGAGAACTTAAGGTAATGCCTACTTACAGATAATTAGTTAAGGGGTAGATTCAAAGCCTTTGGAGGTTTATGGCCCTTACAGAGCAGCTGCTAGTGAACCAAGGCTGCTTGGAGAGGAGAGTAGGTAGGTTTTTCTTTTTCCAGAATTCTACAGCTCTATCTATATTATACATGCCCACAGCAATTCTGTCCCTATTCCCCAACAGTTCAGACTAGGGTGATTATTTGGAAAGACTCAACAACTGCTAATCTGCATGATGCTCTGTTAATCTGAAATCTGTTCAATTACCTGGTGTGCTTCTTAGCACTTAGTCACAGTAGCTGGTGATAGTTGGAAAAGGAGATTACGCCACAGCAAATGCAGATATCGTTTGTTTGTCCACTTCCCCTAGCCGTGTTTATCAAGAGAAAACATCAGCCATTTTATGAAGCAATTATTCCTTCCCTTGCCAAAAATTTAGAACATCACTTTATTTCTTACAACAGGCATTGGCTTTACTAGAAGTGGTACCTGACCCCTACCACATTGTACACTTTCTTCCTTCTGTTGAATTGCAGTCATTGTGCATTAGACAGATCAATTCTTACTTAAGCCTGGTCTACACTGGGTGGGGGGCAAGGGGAGGAGGAAATCGATCTAAGATACGCAACTTCAGCTACGAGAATAGTGTAGCTGAAGTCACCGCATCTTAGATCGACTTACCTCCCGTCCTCACAGTGTGGGATCGACGGCCGTGGCTCCCCTGTCGACTCCGCTTCCGCCTCTCGCCCTGGTGGAGTTCCAGAGTTGAGAGGGAGTGCATTCAGGGAGCGATTTATTGCGTCTAAACGAGACACGATAAATTGATCCCCAATAGATCGATCGTTACCTGCCGATCCGGCAGGTAATGTGGGTGTACCCTTAAATAAGAGCTTACTTCCTCAAAGCACTTTACAGAGTGAGGGTAAGTATCATCTCCATTTTATAGACATGACAACTGAAGCACAAGTGTTACATGACTTGTGTAAGGATCTAAAGAGAGTCAATAAGTCAGGTCTCTGGATCCAGTCCTAGACCAAACTACTGTTCACAGACAGTACATTATACTCCTAGGATGCTAGTCACAAAGCTTGTTCTCGTATATATCACCATTCAGAAGTTTTTATAATTTTGTTGCAGATCCCCCCCCATGCTGGAATTGTGTCCTCAATTCACATGTGCCACATGTAGAATAGTTTTCTATATAACATACACAATTTAGGAATATTACTCAAAAGTGTCTTACATGCAGGGACGGGTGGAACTCAAAAGTTCTCCCACCCAAGACATAATGGAGCAAAGATGGGGAGTTAATTTTGGAGGCGCAACATATTAAAGCCAAAATAACGTTTTTTGCATTTGAACTCTAAAACGGGTGAAGTTCAAATCAAGGAAACCAATAGGCCCAGGGCAGCTTCTGAGCTGGGCAAGCACACACCAATCCTGTCAGCTCTGCCTCAAGTTTATATTAACCAGACAGGCTACAACTGGAAACTCATCTTTACCGGGGAGCCAGGCTGAGATGTTGGCACAGCTGTGAAGAGGCTTGTTAACAGCTGCTGAAAGCCCAGGTCAGGGGAAGATCATTGGTTTAGGGGGTAGGGGGTGTACATGTACATTGTGTTTGCAAAGTTCATTCTGATTTTTGGTGATTTAGTTAAATTATTGCTATTTTCCTTGCGTTTCATATAAAAACTGCCCACCCCTCACTTCTGGGGAAGAGCCCCCAGTGACCATGAAGGTTTTTTAGGGGCTGTCAGGCAATTTTTTAACATTCCAAAATCCACTTTGGGGCAGTGGCTACTGTAGTGTATTTGAAAATAGGTTTTTATTTTTGCTTTAACCTATACACAAGTCAAGTGTATAACCTGCTCTACACTCCAGTTAAGTCTACAGAAGCTGCCTTATATTGACCTAAGTCAGTGTACACACCTACAGCCTTGCTTCCGCCGCTGTAAGTGCCCTACACCAACGCAACTCCACCAGAGGCATAAGTGGAGCCGTGAAATTGACAAGAAAGCCTGGCTCCCCAGCTGGGCTGACCCCCAGGCTCGGTGTTGGGAGCTCTGCTTCCCCCTGGGGTCCCGGCTCCCCCGAGGCTCCCAGCTTGGAGCCCGGCTCCCCCTGCAGGCTCTTGATTCCCTGCTGGAAGCAGGGCAGCCAACTGGACTGTGGGCGCAGATCTCCCTCCTGGAAGTGAGAAACCCCAGCTGGGAGCAGGAAGGCTCCCGGCAGGGATCTGCGTGGAGCTGAGAGCACTGGCTCTCAGCCCCCCACACTGTCCCTCTTCCATTGATGAAAGTGCTCCTGATGAGTGCACGTACCCCTGACAGAAGGAGGGTAGGGTGGACATCAGCCACTGCCGTTATTACTAACTTAGGTTGACTAAAGATTGTAGCGTGGACATGCCCTTGGTTTATTAATATCTTAGCAATGGCATAAGAAGCACATTAGATCACTTGGCAGCATAGATTGTTGATCTCATTAAGCTCACTTGAAGGCATCCAAACCTTCAACTTCTATGTTTTTCTTGCTATACACCGTTAATGCTTACTTGAGCCTTTTTGTTGCACAGCTGTAGATCTGCAACAACAAAACAGGTTTTATAGCCATGCTGGAGTACAATCTTGTCAACTGCACATTCATTAATCAAATGTTCAGTTAAAATTAGTATGTGTCAAACCCCATCCAGGGGCATTCAGCTCAGAGTGGCTAAGGTTGAATATGGAGTGTCCAAAGTGGAGATTGTACCTATTAAGCATTGTCCCTGTTCACATGACAGACAGGAAACAATATATAAATACATACCTGAAATTCAGAATGCTAGGGACTAGAAATTTTCATTTGGTCCCTTTAGATAAAATAAAGAAATACCACCACTATGTAAGAATTTTATTGTCTGCCTGTAACAAGTAAAAGCACTTTTCTGATTTGAGGTAAAACCATTAGAAGTAGTCTACAAGGAATATAAATGGCTTTAAAAAGCAACACAAAGCCCATAATTAGTTTTACATTAGCCTAGCCCCTCCCTACATGGTTCATATAAGAATATTTTAGCAAGCTACCTGTGCAAACAACTGCCCTCTTTGTTTTAAGGCCTAGTGTTACAAAAAGACAAATGCCATCAAAATGGTTCCCCGAGTATGGATTGAGAACAGTCATTCTGAACAAACACGGTCTCAGGTATTTTTACACAGTGCACTAGGTAGTGTTTACAAAAGCTGCGGCACCTCATGGAACACTTTCTATTTAAGAACAATTTTGCCTAGTTTAGGGAGTTTCCCTTTTTGTTTGGTGTAAGCAGCTACGCTCTGTCTGCTCCTCTGCCTAAAGTGTCCTGTCTAAGTTTTATAGAACATTGGGCTGTTCTGGCAAATAGGATCATTAGCAACGAAGGATTTTGCAAGAGGTTTGAGCTCCCACGGAGCCGGTTTTCATTCAAAAGTACACAGTAGCAGCAACACACATCAGGCTGCTCATGATAAAAAAACACAACACACATGGGCACCATGAAAAAAACAGCTAAAAAAACCCTACATAATACTTTGCCTTTCTATAGCACTTTCCACCAGAGGATCTCTAAGAACTTTGCATGAAAGAACCGAGGCTCAATCCCCTGTGAAGTAGGTATCATCCTCCTTTTACCAGTGGAGAAACCGGAGCACATAGAGTTAAAGTGACTTGGCTAAGCCTACAGAGCAAGTCTGACTCTAGATCTGTGCTTAAGCCACCAGACCACTATTAACCTTTCAGTGCAGGAATGTGCCTATTGTAGATTTGCAATGTTGTCTTGAAAGTTTACTGGCCTCGGTATAAAACCCACTTAACCACCCTTTACCATGGTATTAATGAAGAGTTAAAACATTACTTTTGCTTAAAATATATATATTACATACGTACTGCAGGCAAGTGGTCAAGAGTTCTGCAAGGTCGGCCTATTGCAAACTCACATTCAATCTGGTTTAAAACCAACCAAGGTAAAAAAACATTTAACAAAAGTCAAAAAAAAAAAAAAAAAAATAAAAAGTGCCTCTCTTGTAGCAGAGGCTTAAGTGAATAGGTAACTTGAAACATGTCCTGAAGGCCAATGAACTCAGGTCTGTTGGACTCAGAAGGGAAACAAGCTAAAAAAAATCAAGGACCTATGCTGACTTGCTTAATTGAATCCAACAGCAGGATCTGACAGAGAGGGAACCATGGAGAACTACAGAGCACGCACAACATTCAAGCAAAAGTGTTTCGACAAGGAATGCATTCCATGAGGGATCAGTGGGTCATTAACTCCTTGAAATTTCCACTAACAATCTGAAATAGTTCTTCAGTGTCCTAACAGTATGTGGACCCTCCTCACTGGGCAAAGACATTCTCAATTCCCGTTTTTGGTATGCGACTTGGTTACTCAGTAAGGAAGAACCTGCTAAAAAACAAGCCTGGACGTGAGTTATGAGACAAAGTAACACGCTAAAAAACAATTCTAGAGCCAGCTCTACCCTAGAAACTTGCTGGTACATTAATGTCAGTTAGGGGTGCCGTGTTTTTTCAAATGACATTTCTATACCAGCAAAAGCATTAGTGTAGATGCAGTTGTACTGGCAATAAAGTGCTTTTGCTGGTATAACTTATTTTGTTCTGGGAACTGGGATGAACTGTACCAGCTTTAGCACTCTTTTGCTGGCATACGCTGTGTCTACATTAGGAGGTTTGCCAATAAAAAAAAAAATTTCATCTAGATTAAATTTTGGGATCAGTCCCTAGAATAGTTTTGCTAAGAGGAAACGGGAATGAACAGTAGTCATAGCTGAGTCATGCCCTTCTCTAGGTGGGAGGTCCAACTTATAATCAATACCAAAACTTTTGTAACATTTCAGATATGCTTTAGAGGTAAACACAACAAAAATCATTAATCCAGTTACGTGGCTGTCAATAAACATGGGGTGTGTCTTCGCTGCCACTGGGTGTATTTCTGTGCCAGGTAGACATATACATGGTAGCTTTGATCAAGCTCGCATGCTAAAATAACTTGACTGCCATGGCACGGACAGTGATTGAGGCTAGCTACTCAAATACGTACCTAGGATCTTGGATGGGGTTGTACTCGGATGGCTAGCCTGAGCCACTGTGGCCACACTACCTCTCTGAACAAAAAAAGAGGATTTTTTTATAAAAGCATTCATGTTCAGTGATTCCCCTATAGGCTTGTGGTAAATCTTTTTAAAATGTCAGTTTTATCTGCCATTAAAATTATTATTTATATAGCACCATAGATAGGTATGATGCTTTATGGACATGGTCCCTGCCCCATAGAAATTAGAATCTAAAGCCCAGATCCTGCAAGCTCTTCCATTGAGTTCAGTGTAGAATAACTACTCATATATGTAAAGTTACTCTTATGCTTAAGTGTTTGCAGGATTGGGGCCTTAGCCATTAAATAAAAGATTTTTTGATTTCAACCTACTCTGATGGAAGAAAAACAGAAATAACTTCTTAGGACAAAGTTGCAGTTCACTTTTGCACTGTTCTGGTGCTTTTTGTCCTACAGAATGTTCGGTCATGCAGTTTTTATGGAAGAAATTTAATCTTAAATTTATGTTACTGGTAAATTTAGATTAAGAATGGTTTTAAAAGCAATCCAATTCACAGCAAGTCTGTACCTTTTCTAACTACTGTTGATGTTACAACTTGTAAAACAGAACTGGAATGTTACAAAGGTCCCTTAAGATACAAAAATATTGTTCCTCACTGCATTCTCTAGTCTCTCTTTTGATCTTTAGCATCTTCTTTTTCTTCTTCATCTGAGTATACGGTGGGTTCCTCTCCTTCCTTCAGCAGTTTGCCAACATAGTGATACTTGACTGTAAATTGAGAAAAAGCACAGAATACAGATCATTCCTTTACCTCGTGCAACCTAATGTTTTCACTAAAGCAGAGACAGTGGTTAACATAGCATTAACATTAACATCAAGAATCAACAATTCTACATTTGTTTTGCCCATTGACAAAAGGGCCAAACGATTACTACTGTCGTAACAGGTGGTATTTATGTGAGAAATGGGCAAAATAAATGCAAACCATACAACTCTCCTTTTGCAAAAACCAGGAGTGACAATGTAAAGGCATTCGTGGATACTTTTGTTACCCATGACATTCTCAATTTCAAGGTCTCACGTTCAAAGGGAGCCAACTATAACAGTGAAGAAATGAAATCCCCACTTTGGGGGTGAGTGGGAAAGAACAACACTCTCCCCCAATTACACTTGCCTATGCCAGTTCTGAAAGCTAGAATCCTGAGAATGTCAGGAGAACCTTGAAGGGCTTATATTTTCAGAGATTCATGGTGTGAACAGGCACTGGGAAACAGGAAAAATGTTCTTCCCGCCTGCATTAAAGATGGCACTATAGGAATTCTCCCACTGTGCACCCAGACAAGCCTTATTCCTGTTAGATATTTCCTTGTGAATCATTTTAAGTACTGTAGTAAGACATATGCATAAGGAGGAAGGTTATGAAGCACAGCTCTCCAGATCAGCAAAGCCTTTTGGCAAGTGAAGGGAAATCTCTTACTATGCTCCCTTCTATATTATAGTTTAAAATTATGTGAATTTAAAAGCAAATATTTGCATAATCTGCTAGAAGTTTGAGAACTACATTGCAGTTGTTAAAATACTAACACTTCACTCCTGGACAGACTGATTGAAATGCTGTTTTTTGGTCACACATATGGTAGTGTAATACTGGTGTCTAGGACACACTTATCATAAAACCACCATTCAACGTGATATGATTAATAGCTTTGTTCAAGACAGGATGAGAGTCAAAATAGCAGCTGCGTCTACATGAGGAGGTTTTCCAAAATAGCAAATTAGGAGCGAAAAACTAAGAGCATTATCTGGGGAAAACTTGGCTCTTCGTGTTGGGCAACAAATTAAAAAAACAAAAAACACACAACTTTTAATTCCCATTGCACAAAAAATAAATTTCTGTAACTGTTTCTAAAATATTGATTATTTGTGACTGGGGAAGTGATACTGTGGAAAAAGATCCTTGTCTACATTTGCTCCTACTATTTTTTTTTTTTTTACTCCAATTAAAGGTTTTTACCCTAAGAGGATTATTTCCTTTTCAACCATTTCTTTTAAAAGGACTTAATTACATTTAGGCACACTGAATAGATTATTTTCACATGTACTCTTTAGAAAGCTCCTTGACAGAAACACAATATACACAACATACAACAGGAACATATGAAAGTTACAGACTTCTTCACAAGTTGATCATGATGAAAATGTCTTGTCTACGTCTGACCCCAGACTGACTGCTTAATGTAAAGTTTGTATAGTTTTCTGGTGTGAAGACCATGCTAACAATGAGCATGTCAGAAACCACAGCTGTGAAAGGACAAGTCGCACTTAAAGTTGTCTGAATGTAGGTATCTTAAGACTTAAGGGTTATATGCCACATTCATTTGTAAGTACCGTATGTTATACCAGTGTAATAGTGGGAACACTGAATCAGTTGAAGTTCTAGACTAAAATTAAGTCTGACATTCTTGTTTTAACACTGACCACCATGCAGCCAGACTGCTAGTAAAATGTAATGGTCATATTATCTAGACTAAGTGTATATGGAATTTCCCTTACATGTTTCTTACTGAAATGCTTGTTATATAAATAACATTTACAGTCTGTTTTATGTAAATGGAGGGGGGAAAAAACAACACACTTAGAGCTTTTCTGGTCTAGAAACCCAGGTTAAGTGTTGGTGCAGTTAATATTCTTCACCAGGAAGGTATTACTGTAGAGGATCATTACAGAATAATCAAACTCCTGGGTATAAGAAGCTACCTGAGCAGTTTCCAACCTACAAAGTTTCATTTTTTTTTGTTTAAACAGTAAACAAAAACCTGGCTCACAGAGCAGCTATAGCTGGTATATTTACACTGGAAGTCTTTAAAGCAAAGAGCTGCAAAACAAAACATAAGAACGGCCATACTGGATCAGACCAAAGGTCCATCTCGCCCAGTATCCTGTCTTCTGACAGTGGCCAATGTCAGGTGCCCCAGAGGGAATGAACAGACCAGATAATAATCAAGTGACCCGTCCCCTGTCACACATTCCCAGCTTCTGGCAAACAGAGGCTAGGGACACCATCCCTGCCCATCCTGGCCTATCGCCATTGATGGACTTATCCTCCATGAATTTATCTAGTTCTTTTTTGAACCCTGTTATAGTCTCGACCTTCACATCATCATCATCTGGCAAAGGTGGACTGTACGTTGTATATAGAAATATCTCCTTTGGTTTTAAACCTGCTGCCAATTAATTTCATTTGGTGACCCCTAGTTCAAAACAGAAGAGAGAGTATTGCCCAGATTTTTTAGATTATTGTATATTTATATCTAAGCCTGAATAGACAAGAAAAGTGATAGCTGCTTGAAACTTATTTTGTTGGCAAAGTCTCCAGATGTGAGCAAACAGCAGCTTGTCTCCCCTAATTCTGGGACTGCCATTCCTGAATAATGCTGCATAGTTAATTTGACATATACAGAATTGATTAATTTCACTCAGTATTCAAAGGCGCTTAAATGATTTTTGAAAATGCAACATAGGCTTCTGAAAGTCACTTAGAAGCTCCTGAAAATTTTACTTCTCCGAATCTTGTTTTGTAAATGCTCAAATAAGAATAGGAGAAACAAGGAGTACCAAGTGGAAAACATTCAGTTTTCCAGAAGTAAGCTTCCTTAATTCTTCAGGATGTTAGAAAAACAGAATGCTCCCATACAATGCCAACTAAATGTAACTGCCTTACAGGAACACTCTCTATGTGCAACCAGGTTAATTAAGAAGTTAAAAGCAGTTTCATTCCCTGCCAATTTCCTCCCCCCCCCCCAGTTTTATAGTCACACTTTACTATTTGAAAAAGTGGTTTAATCTCTTCTCTTTCTCTGTAAAAAACCAAATCCAAACAAAAAGCTACCACCCAAATGGGGGAAAACTGACATTTTTTCTCTAATCTTTCAGTATTAGAAAACTTAATACAACAAAGGGTACAATATTTTCAAACAGAAGTTTGTTTGCAGCGTTGGTTCCAGGATATTAGACAGACAAGATGGATGAGGTAGTATCTTCTATTGGATCAACTTCTGTTAGTGAGAGATCTTTTGAGCTTCTTCTTCAGGTGTGGGCCAGACCTTAAGAAGAAGGCCTCTTTGTAAGTTTTTGTCTTTCCCCATCAGAAGTTGGTGTAATAAACGATATTAACCTCACCCACCTTGTCTCTTAGACATTTGATATAGACTATTGAATGTCATCCACCATTATACACAGAAACTAGCTACTTCACTGAGAGTTCATTTGAAATTGCTTACAAGTGAACTGTGATTCCCAGTCTCTCAGGGTCTCTTGCTGCGTAGCGTTGAGATCAGACAGGTCATCATATTCATCCTTCAGAGCCTCCTTATCCAGACAGAATGTGGCAAGACCTCTGGATGCATCCCGTCCAGCAAAAATTCCATATGGGCCCTCTTTAAAATAAAAATGTTGGGGTAATTATTACGTTGCTGTTTCTTTGAGGACCACGTACCAAGAACCAAATGACATGCTGATCCCCTGACTTGAACCTTATGTAGAAATCCCCAAATAAGATTTGTATTGTAAAATTTGTCCTATTTTGTAATATTAAGCCAGATATTTTCCAGTACATACACACCCCAAAAACAAAAACAAGAAACACTACAAGAAAACAGAATCACTAAAGAAGATACTGAGCATGCTGGGACATCAGGAAGAGGAGACAAGTGCTGGTGTGCGGAGGGCATGGCAAAAGGGAGCGATGCACAAGGAGATGACAAGAAGCAAATGGCTTTCCTGGAGCAAGCCTAAGACATATGGGTGGCACCTGTAAAGACAGCTAACAGGAGTCAGTTATGTGGGAAGAGGAAAGGAGAAAGGATTCAGAAGTCTGAGGAGATGGAGTGCCAGGCAAGGGTATGGCTTTCTGACAAATCCTTCTGGCTTAGAGAGTTGACCCATGAAAGAAGAAGGACCTGAAAGGTGATTAGTTGGCTTGAGATATGGAGGAGAATCTTGACTGATACTACTCCAAGGATAGCGATCAGGCTGGACTTGGGTGCCTATAAAGATAAAATTTACACAAAATGCATGTAATGCACATTTTATAATAATCCCAAGGGACTGATGTGTACATGTCACAGTGGGTCAGAAGTATCTTATCAAGAGGGAGTGCTGGTAAACTTCATCAATCATTAACTTATTTGCAATAGTAAGCAGAATGTTTTATCTGTACAGAAGTAACAGAAAATTTGGGATAGCACATGTTCCAATGATACATTAATGCCTCTTAAGAGAGCTGAAACACCAAAATCTGTTACTTGAGAGGCTGTGCCCACCTGAACTTGGGAGAAGAAGCCTTTTCAGAGTTTCAATAAATGGAATCACTTTCCTTTTCATACAGAGACCCAATTTCATGACTACATTAATAAATTAGACATGATATATAGCCTCATGTTCTGAGATCAGGGGGTAGCCGTGTTAGTCTGTATCTAC